AAAAAAGTCAAGACATTTACGTTTCCAGACAAAGGTCATAAAAAACAACTTATTGTTAGAGCAAGCCAAGGTTCAGTTAGTAGATTGTATATGAATTTTGAAACTGGAGAAATCTCTTTAGCAATGGTTTGAACGTGAGATTTGGCGGTGTATTCGACATGTCATCTATGTTCATGTGTGCTTCCAGAGCTACATGCTGTCTGGCCACGTGGTTAGGGCGCTATACTCACAATCTGAGGGTCGTGGGTTTGAATCCTCGTTCCAACAAACATGCTTGCCCTTTCATCCGTTATAATGTGACGGTCCATCCCACTATTCGTTCGTTGGTAAAATAGTAGCCCAAGAGTTGGCGGTGGATGGTGATGGCTAGTTGCCTTCCCTCTAGTCTTTCACTGCTAAATTAGGGACGAATAACGCAGATAGCCCTCGTGTAGTTTTACGCGAACTTCAAAACAAACCTAACATGCTAACTACTTCTTCAAAATTTTGCTTTGTAAATTTCAGACTTCAGTTTGGTTTCTGATTCAGGAATTTCATACTTAATTTTTCTTCAGGCCTCTAAAGTATAAACGACTTGCGAGCTTCGTTTTGGATTTTTATTCGTGTCGTTTATTTGTAAACGACATTTCTTGATTCATATATATATATATATAGATAGATGTGTGTTCTTCTTCGGGCCTCTTCAGAGACCTACAGGAGCATTCAGTAAGAAAATTAAAACTTTATTTATACATCAACAGAAGAATAGGAGAATAATCCAAACAAAGTTACTGTTTAAATGTTGAATGTCAGCGAAATTTTGGAAAATCAAACATTTGCATTTAAGCTGTTTTTAGAACAATACAACCAAAAACTGTCAACATTTTCTCAGCAACGCTTTCATGTATTAACACAAGATCTCTTCCTCAACCAGAGACGAAGTAGTGTTTTTGGGTGGCAGGTACAAGAAATTCTGGTAATTTTTCTAGGAGGTATTACATAAACTGTTGAAAAGTCTGGAATCTGCTGTAGCCAAATATGTAATCCATATAATGATAACGTATTTCAGTCGGGAGTTATGACCAGTCAAAGGGACACGGTTTCGGAGTGGCCAGACCACCTTAATGGCAATGGTCATACACACGAATTAGTTATCTCTTTTTGCTTTTCAAGATAAATTATGCGACCTTTCTTCATTGTCTGTTTGAGCTTGGAGAGAGATTTTTTTCTTGATCTTCTGACCTGGCCAAAGGCTACTACTATCGCCACTGTCCTTGTCAACACCAAGACCATTTTTGAGTGTCGCCACAGCACATTTGGGCCTGATAGATGGATTCACCTGAACAAGGGCTGTAAAAAAGTCAATCGTGATCTCATCCACAATGCCTGAACAGATTTCAAGTCGAGCATCTCGGAGCCTTGCGCATGCAGATAATCAAGGAATAGTGGCGATTGATGAGGACATCAAGGAATACTGGCGATTGATGAGGACATGCTGATTGATGAGGACATGCCGAAGTGTCGCAAAGATTCAGTACAGTCACAGTCGGCGGGGCTTGGAGCTATCTGATGAAGATCTTTTGGGTTTTGGTCTGAGAAACAGGTGATGAAGAAAAAGAAGACTGACCTAGCGGACCCGTCGGTTGCACAACAGTAAGTACTATCAGTAAATATAGGGTTTCTGATGATGATGTGGCCACTCATAACTCTGTTAATGTTTGCCCGATTTTGAAACTATAAATTGTAATCGTCATGTCTCATTGTATGCTATATCAAGTGTAAGTTTCACCAAAATCGAATAAACCTTGAATTTTTTATGTCCGATCTCTGCCACCGAGGCGCTTCTGGTTGAGGGGGAAATCCTGTGTTAATACAAGGAAGTGTAAATCATACAATAATTAGCGGACGAAATATATAACTTATAGTAAAATTTATATTTCATAGCGAAGACATTTATTCAAGCGAATATTTTGATATGATATGAAAGACCGAATCAACAAGGCAGTCGTTCTGCATGTTTATAAACGAAAACAAACCAGTAAAAAATTATTAAGTGCCACTAACTTGGATATATTTAGTTCATTACCTTACCACAATATTGTTATGTTAAACCACCCAAGATTTCCTGGTGGTTTCCTATATCATTATTTCACTTCTTTTCATAATTGCATATTTTTAACATACTGACATGTTTAATATTTTTAGTATATTGGTTATTACGTTATTTCGATAAATAACTGGGCGTTTATTTTTACTAATGAAATAATCATCATATTTCATTTACACAAAAACAAGTCTTACAGTTGCTCTTGTTTGCTGCTCATAATGGTTTAGTTAAACATGGAACTCTTGAACTTTTTTATTCTAAAATCAAGTTTAAAGAATGATGGTCCTTGATCAACAATGCACGGCAAAGTTAACATTAGACACTTTGAAAAAATAGACTTGTAATTAAGACAATGAACAAATAGACGTAACATTGAAACATTGATCAAATAGATTTAACATTGGGACATTGATGAAAAAAAAACTTGATATTGAGACATTGGTCAAATAGACTTGATATCGGGGCATTGAACAAATAGAGATGGCACCAGGACATTGAACAAATAGACTTGATATCGGGTTATTGGTTAAATAGATTTGACTTCTTTACATTGATCAAATAGACTTGATATCGGGGCATTGAACAAATAGAGATGACACCAGGACATTGAACAAATAGACTTGATATCGGGTTATTGGTTAAATAGATTTGACTTCTTTACATTGATCAAATAGACTTGATATCGGGGCATTGAACAAATAGAGATGACACCAGGACATTGAATAAATAGAAGATATACTATTATTTGACACTAAGTTCAATTAAAGTCCGAAAACTGCCTACCTGAAGAGGTCCAAAAATGTATCCAAAAGTTTCGCATTGGGTGTAAATTGTTCTTTTGCTTCGGTTGCTGATGGTTTTATATTTGGGTTTCCTGGATGGACTAACGCCACAAACAATAAACCAATGAGGGAAGCAATTAGGCTTGTAGCGATGAAAATAACAAAAGTGTAGAGAGCAACTTTTCCTTCTGCTTTACCACTCAAAGTAGCACTTCCTATGTGGATAACATCATAATTTAGAACCAATTAATAATTTCTTTCAAATAACTTCACTTTTTTATATTTACTAAAACAATTAAATACTTAATCCTCTGTCAAGTAAGAAAACTAATAACGCTACATAAGACGCCCATCATGTTTGTTTGTTTGCTTGTTTTTCGAATTTTGCGCAAAGCTACACGAGAGCTATCTGCGCTGGCCGTCCCTAATTTAGCAGTGAAAGACTAGAGGGAAAGCAGCTAGTCATCACCACCCACCGCCAACTCTTGGGCTACTCTTTTACCAACGAATAGTGGGATTGACCGTAACATTATAACGCCCCTACGGCTGAAAGGGCGAGCATGTTTGGTGGGACGGAGATTCGAACCCGTGACCCGCAGATTGCGAGTCGAGCTCCCTAACCACCTGACCATGCCGGGCACGCCCATCATGCTTTGGATACATGAATATCTTGTTTGCTTGTTTTTTTGTTCGTTGCTAAGCACAAAGATACACAATGGGCTATCTGTGCTGAATTCACCACGGGTATCTAAGCCCACTTTTTAGGGTTATCAGCCTTCAGGGTTACCGCTGTACCACTGGGGGTGGAGGAATATGAATATCAAATTATCTGTAAAAAGAGTAAAATATTTATTCATTACTCGTAAAGATTGTTACAAAATAGAGATTCAGAGTTGAAAAGTAACAAACTTATGAGTCCAGTTACACATGCTATAAAGCGACTTATTCTCCATTTGCATCAGACAAAAAGCACATTTCATTATGCTATGCTAGCCCTAATGGTAGCCTTCATTACTGTATATAAATGTTGATGTTACCTCTATGCTTAATACAGTATATAAATGTATCAATAATAGCGTCAGTGGTGGTTACTACAGTAATGACTATATAGTTATGCCACAGAATGAAACTGTGTAGTGGTTATTATCTGTTTGTTTTTTACATTTACACAAGGATTGCCAGTACTAGCTGTCCCCGAGTTTCAACTGGTAGAGAAGAGGAAAGGAAACTAACCAGCTGCACCCATCGCAAACTTTGGGGCTATTCTAATCGAAATTTTAGGATTTGACCGCTACTATTGTAACGCATTCACAACTCCAAAGACCGGAGCGCATTTGTCTGGAAACGAGACGCGAGCCATGGACCCTTCGATTCACATTTAAGCATGACAATCTAGACCACACCCGGCCGAGTAGACGTTATCGTTATGTCTGTGTTACAAAGATGCCACAATCGTGTTTCTCATCACAACTATTGTTATTAGGCTGTTGCTATTTTATGCTAATGATTATCATCATAATGGTATGTCTGACGTCTCTTCGTATTACCATAACGTTTCGGTGTGATATGGTCGTTACTATCTACACGAAGGACGACATTTTAGAATCACTCCTTCATGGGTTTAACCCAAAAAGACCAAACCTTATAACCTAAGTGCTTTCGAAAGGTTGATTGTTATGATAGCTACTATGAATGCTGTTTCCATAATAAGTCACACTTTCGAGCAGTTTATTACATTTTACATCAGCCCATTATTACTGATTTGGGATAGTTTGCTACATTCTAGGTCATCGTATTATTACAGTAGTTTCAAACAGACAAATACATTCTAGGTCTTGGTATTGTTACGACAGCGGAAGTCACGTGACGCTAGTAACACGCGATGAGTATCTAGAAGATTCACGAAGAGACGAGTGTAATCTAGATGTACGCTTTTATAGTATATAAGCCGGCAAATAAAGCGACGGCAAGGAGATAATTGCAGACAGGCAGAGACAGAGACGGACGATTGAGTCAATCGCGGTAGTGACCGTAAGTAAAGTGTGTGAATCGTTGTGAATTATAGCGTGTGCTTAAGTTAAAGTGACTGTGGAAATTAAGTGTATTGCAAAGTTGAGTTGAGAAAGAATAAAATACTTTTATTTAAGAAAGGACTTGTATCGCTGAAGTTTCTCGGAAAGAATTTCTACAGAAAATTAACAAACGAACGACCAAAGAACCAGAGACGTAACAGTATTATTACAGTAGTTTCAAACAGACAAATACATTCTAGGTCTTGGTATTTATACCACATCTAATGAATACTGTACACATGGAACAGAAGATTTTATGTTTCTTGTTGTTCGCTTGCATTCTTTCTTTAAATAATCACCTTTTATAAACTTTACAAGATAAATCTACTTTCAACGTTGCTTGGACAACAGTCCTCCGCGGGTGAAATAAACGTTTTATGGTAACGAGTCACAGAAACAGTGGGCTTAGTATGACCTAGTGGTTAGGGCGCTCGAATTGCGGTCTCGGGTTCGAATCTCGTCACCGAACATTCTCGCTCTTTCAACCGCGGGGGCATTATATTGTAACAGCCAATTCCACTTTTCATTGGTAAAAAAGGATCTCCAGATTTGGCAGTGGGCGGAGTTTACTGTTTATCTTTATCACTTCTAAATTAAGAACGGCTATCGCAGATAGCCTTCGAGTAGCTTTGCGCGAAATTCAACAAAAGCAAACACACAAATAATTCCTAGTTTAAGGTAATCACAATTCTCCTTAGTATAATAAAACCTGCAGACTGCCATATTAGTATGTAAAACATGTCGACTACAATATTAGTACGGTAAAACATGATAATATTCATATATTATGACAATGGTATCTATATTTGATAATATTCATGTATTATGACAATGGTAACCATATTGGATAATATTCATATATTATTAGAATGGTAACCATATTTGATAACATTCGTGTATGGAGATAATGGTAATCATAGTTGTTACCATTAATGTATGATGATAATGGTAACCATATTTGATAATATTCATGTATCATGACAATGGTAACCATATTTGTTACCATTAATGTATGATGATAATGGTAACCATATTTGATAATATTCGTGTATCGTGATAATGGTAATCATATTTGTTACCATTAATGTATGGTGATAATGGTAATCGTATTTAGTAACATTATCACGATAATTTTCGCCATATTTGATAACATTCACATATTGTGGTAATGGCTACCATGCATATTTAGTAATATTCGTGTATTATGTTAATAGATATAATATTTGGTAACCATCGTGTAATGGTTATGGTTGTGAACTTACCTGTTATAATACTAGCCACCATGATGGGCAGCACCAGCATGCGTAAAACCCTCAAGAAAATATCACCAGGCATTTCGATGACCATGATAACGTCATCATTAGGTTGGATCATGCGAAGGCTTAAGCCTAAAATCACTCCTAAGCACACAGCCACTAGGGTTGAGAACAAAAGGGCATTTTCTTTTAAACTGCCACTAACTCTCTTCCAACACTCCATTTTGTCAGTGCAATACAACGATAGTAGTCATGCGTTTCACAGTATTACCAAAGCGCCATGTTTCAGTTTCGGTCGTTTAAAACATAAACTGTCTTTAGCACTCGTAACTCCCTTTATGTTACTTAAAGGAAATCAGATCGGGCGGGTTTAAAGTTTAACTTCGTCCCTACATGTGGGTGGTGTTTCCTGCGTATATGATTCTCCCCGTTTCCCCTCCACTGCCAGGCCTCATAATGCAATATCCAATCAATGGCCCCAATTCAGACACGTCTGTCAAGACAGTATCACAAGGTTAACACAAACGCTAGATGATTATTATAACCAACTCAGCAGTGATGGCTCCACTGGCGATTTTCATGATTTATTCACTTGACGATTTTAGTCCTAAAAAATCTATTTGATTTTCAGACAAATAAATTGACGTATACCGATAACCAGCTTTGGGAGATATTAAAATACATTTCTAAATTGCATTCAAAGCTTTAACAGTGGTGAAACCGATTAAGTAAAAGGTGTACGCACATACACGTCTAAATAATGTGAATGTTTTAAAGTGTTAAGAAGTCTCGTCTAGCGAAGGCTCTCGTATCTATCTCCCAATAGCCTACCAAATGGGTTACAAATAAATCATTCAATACAAGAAGAAATACATTGAATTACATGAAGGGCTTGAAAAAATAAATAGAAGTTTGGCCATCAGAGGGCGCAAATACAGACGTAACAGTGAACATCTATTAACTGCAATATAACTAAACAAAATACCTGGTCAACTTCTCAGCGCTTCATTATTAGCTCTTATTTTATTTGTTGGTTGTTAAGTACAAAACTGTACATTGGGCTATCTTTGGTCTGCCACTGCAGAGTTCGAATCCCGAATTTTAGCCTTATAAGATCTCAAACATAACTGCTTTGCCACATATTTTAATTGAGTGTATAATAAATTTCACGGAATTTAAACTTTCAATCTGAAAGGTACCAAATCCAGACATAGAATAAATTGCCAGTTCATAGACCCCTGGTGTTCAGATAACTGCTAGACCACGTCTGGCCCCAATTTTCGTGTCTTGTACAATAATATCGATAAAAGTAAGTTTGTAAATATTCGCCCCCAGTGAGTCAGCGGTAACTCGAGGGCTTATAACGCTAAAAATCGGGTTTTTATACTCGCTGTGGACATAGCACAGACAACCCAATACGTAGCTTGGTGCTTATTAACAAACAAATAAAAAAGAAATATATAATAAATATTAAACATGCAATTTATGTTAAAATATATAATAAATATTAAACATGCAATTTATGTTAAAATATATAATAAATATTAAACATACAGTTTATGTTAAAATATATATGATAAATATTAAACATGCAACTTATATGTCAAAATAATATGATAAATATTATATATTCATAGTTTTGTTTCAACAAGGAAAGGGAAAGTTAATATTCTTATAAACATCAATCAAAACCCAAAATATAATGATCTAACACAACTTTTGGGTGTTATATTTATTATTACACTTATTCAATGGAATGCATTCAATAAGGTGCAACGATAATATTTTATTGTTATTAAAAATATTATTATCGTTTAAAATATTAATAATATTTTACTTTATAGGGTTGGTGTTAACGGTTCCGTCTGATAAGGATGAACTGGGCGGGATAAATATTAATAGCAAATAGAACAATATATTCGAAAGTTTATGTAATCTCTTGGTTCACTTTTTGACTTGCGTGGGGTATCTTTGTTAGTGCCTTCACCGTGTATATTACTGAAGTGTCAACTTTGAATCTGGTGAACTTTAGTGACAAATTTCGGACTTTCCAAATATTCGCAATTGTAAAGGTAACTATTCCAAGTCTACAGCGAAAGTATTTATAATTAAACCAACATTATCTCATTTAAACTTCCGATTCAATTTGCAATTTTAGATAGTGATTTTCATCTTGGTTAATCTAACGTGTTTTTAGTTAAGTGTGTGTGTGTGTAGAACCCTTCTTCCATTTATATTCTTTATTTTTCTCGTGTTCAGTTATTGTTTTTCCATTTTATTGTCTGATATATAGGACCATTTCAGATGGATCGTATTACAGGCTTGTACTACAAGTTGTAGGCCTATTAGATCGTATTACAGGCTTGTAGGCCTACTTGACCATATTACAGATTTGCAAGTTGTAGGCCTATTGGATCGTATTACAGACTTGTAAGTTGTAGGCCTATTGGATCGTATTACAGGCTTGTAGGCCTACTTGACCGTATTACAGATTTGTAAGTTGTAGGCCTATTGGATCGTATTACAGACTTGTAGGCCTATAATGCTCCTGGATATGGAAATGATGTATTCAACGAGTTTTTAAGTTAAAACTGTCCGTACTGTGTTCCGACTTACGACAAATGTTCTAATTTGATGCTGTTTGCATATGTTTACAGACTTTTGATATAGTTGCGTGTCTTTCTGATTATGATTGGTGTTTGCCTTAAGTTATATATTTACTTTACAAGCAACACAGAAGTCTGTCAAATTGTTTTAACGTTCTTCTTCATTGTTGTCCAATATATATATGTACAAGGTTGGCCATAACTTAAATTTACCCAGTTATAGAACGAATAGTTTATCCAATCAGGTGTGCAATACAAAATGTAGTGTTTCATTAATACAGCCACGGAGCTCGTCTCGCAATCTGAAGATCGCGGGTTCGAAACCCGAATATGCTCGCTCTTTCAACCGTGGGGGCATGGTAAAAGAAAATAGCCCAAGAGTTTTGCTTCTTTTTTTTTTTAGCAGCAATGAGATGTGAATCATAAACTGTGGATTCACTATCCTGACACACTAATCACTAGGCCCCATCAGGCCAGAAAGGTTTCTTATATTCAAAACACAACACTGTATTTATACACAGATTTGTTAAATAACGTTCTGGGCTACTATATCACTTCAGACTGTAAGAAATTGGGGTATTAGGGAATGAGTTTCCTTTGAAATCCATTTCTTATAGCTGGAACAAAAAAAAAAACCCATTAAATGAATGCTATGTTTCACATGTAACCCTTATTCAGTTTAAACATGATAAATGTGATATAAAATTTGTAGCATCTAACATTCAGGGACAATTAGGCTTGCAAAAAAAAATTTCACTATTATATACAGTGTTTAAATCTCATTTGCTGTTCCTCTCGAGTGGGGGTATTGTTTTATACTTAAATTAAAACATTTAGAGAACCAGTGGCCAGATTCATACACCAATAAGTCCAGATAAAACAATAATTTATTTAATTCAACATTATCTATTACAGGATCATCATGGATGTATGCAAACATGAAAAGATCAAAATAGGTATACAGACATTTGGATTAACAATTTTAAATTGTAATTAATTGTGCTTGATTTACTTTTTTTGACACATTAACAAGCACACCCTATAAAGGGTAAAGTCATATTTTAGGTTTTTCTTTCATTTTTTACTTCACATAGCAGGTATCAATAGCAAATATAATCATTGTGAGAAAACCATTCAGGGACAAATAAGCTGGTAAAACGAATTTTCATTATTATATACCGTGTGTTTAAATCTCATTAAATTTTTCTTCCAACTGTTTGTTGAGCATAAAGCTGCACAATAGGCTATATACATTATGCCTTTAACAGGGATCAAACCCAAATTTTAACCTTATAAGCCCTCATGTTTATTACTGAGCCACTGGGAGTTTTCTTTAAGCTTTAATATAAAACTGACAACCAGGTAACAGAGCTGATAAAATATTTTCAACAGGATAACACGTGTATTTTTACAACTTAGTCAATTAGTATACGTCACACATTTACACAAGAGTTGTTTGTGTTTTAGGAGTTATACATTCAGCACAGATTGTGTGAACTATAATACGAGGTTTGAGTTGACACTTATATACAGGTTAAACTATAAAACAGAAGGTTATATAACAAAAAACCTTTAGAGTTTAGTTTTCAATGGTGCTGAGTATAGAGATTTTTATCAAGTCTGACTTTCTTGTTAATCCTAGGCTAACCTTAAATCACCAGGATTATTTGAAAAGAGAGCTCACTTTAAAAGAAAGAGAAAAAAAACGTTTTTACTGTACACATATATCCCATGTTCTTTGAGGTGACACATTTAAATGTAATCATCACAATATAACTGTTCAAAAGTGAATGACATACTAGGACTGGTTACCTAGATAGATAACTTGTATATAATCCTGCCACACAAGTGATTTTGTCAACGTTCTAAAATATTCCCAGAAAACAACAGTCCCAAATGTTCATTTAATAAATACTTTTGTTAATTAAGCTAAAATTCTCATATATAGCCAGAAAAACATTAACGATATAGCAAAGTTTAATGCTGTTAAACTATGCCAAACAAATAGACTTATACATATATAGCCAGAAAAGCATTGACGATATAGCAAAGTTTTAATGCTGTTAAACTATGCCAAACAAATAGACTTATACATATATAGCCAGAAAAGCATTGACGATAT